ACCATCTATTACAAAGAAGACTGTGGTCCTAGTAGTTGTACCTATAGTTATGTCCAATGGCATAACTCCCTTAGCTGCAGTTGCTCCTCCATTGAAACTTGTAAGGAAGACTTCTGTTGGAATCATATCCCCTTCTTTCTTTGCAAATTTCCTCATCATCCTAGATGGAATGGTGTTTATAGCTGCTCCATTATCAACAAGCACTTTTGCCACAGGTATGTCGTTAACTAGAGCTTTAACGTACAACGGCCTCAAGTGTTTAGTCAATTTCATAGCTGGCCGTTTAAAAATAACCTTTTCGGCAGCCTCTATTTCTACTTCTTGCTTGTCCTCTGTTGAGTTATCCTTTTGTGATAAGTCAACATACAGCATATCGCACTGAGCCTCTGTCTCCTAAATTCCCTTTTTACTGTTTTCTGATGCTTCCTCTTCAATTACCCAACCTATGGGAGGAGGCATTATTCTTGGAGGCGATCCATACTTTTCAGAACGAGACATTCTCTTCTTCCTTTTGGGTGTCCCGTACAGTACGTAAAAATCGAAAGAACGCCCAGATGCTTCTCCCAATAAGTCTACTTCACGAACTCCCTCTCGATGTAGTTGCTTCAACAGAGTATTGTGCGATATTCCTCTTCTTCTCCTTTCTGCTTCCAGATCGATTTCCTCTTCAATGTCTGTCATACCATCATCTTCCTCACCATTGTAGACCTCTCTAGAAGTCTGACATTCTTCATATTCCAGCACGCATGCTTCTCCTTCGTTATCCTCTCTTTCTTCTTCTTCTTTCTCTTTATTCTTGAACTCATTGGCTAGTAAATAGTTATTAGCCACAACATGAGGTAACGTACCGAACTGAATAGTAAGAGGCTGATATGGATCTTCTCCATCCTTTCTGTCTCGCTCAAACTTCGATCTCCCAGAAGAAGTTTCTGGCAACTCTTTCATTGATTCATCTGTCCTGGTCTCTTCACTATCTTTGAGAACATTTTGATTGGCTACCTTGAGTAGTTTAGGCGCTTTAGGAAGTGGCACTCCCTGTTGTTGCCTCATCATTCGTCCATAATTTCGTTGGAAACGCCTTTGTTGGGTTCTAGTCATCTCGTCGAAGGGTATTGCCTTTCCTGCATTATACTGGAATGAATGCCATACATTTGGTCGGCGAGGTTGCGGTCTGAATGTTCTCCCATTATCTACTGGCCTGAACTGCCTCTCAAAAGGCAGTCTCTTGTAGAACGATGTACCTCGCCCTCTACCAGACTGAGCATTTGGGAGGAGAGTAGGGCGATGGGGATGCTGCCATATCCCCGGTTTCTCCGTATTCCCACTCACTTCTCTTTTACATCTTGCACATAAGACGTCTTCATCCTTCTTTGGCTCCTTCCCTTTAATACGTTCAAAGACACTGGGATGTGGTCCAATGTCTTCTTCTCCATCATCTACAACCAATTAGAATTTTGGCAACTTATTTTTGAAACCAGACGTCACCACATTCATTCCAAGTGGCTGTGGAAAAGGATTTTCATCCACTGCCATCTTCTTCTTATCATCGAACGTAATTCGTCCTAATTTAATGGCATCCTGTAACACATGGCGAAAAATCAAGCAATTGTTAGTCAAATGTGACCATACATTATGCCACTTACAATATTTTTTACCCTTAATTTGTTCAGGATTTGGCAATTTATACTTATCGCTCAACTTTATCTGTTTATCCTTATATAATTTATCAAATATAAGGTCAACTTTGGATACATCGAACGAGAACGTCCTAGCTTTTACGTTTTCATCTTTCATAGGCTCATCCTTACCCGATGGTCTAGGCTTAGCCATTATAGGATAAGTATACGTGTCTCCTTTGACTAATTCGGCCAAACACATTTCGGTCTGATCGTATGACTCGTTATTGATGGTATGAACATCAAAATTTAGGTCTCTATAATAAGTCCCCTTGCTAGAATTTTTTATCTGCTCTTCTTCTCTTATCAATCGTTCATACCTAATCACGTTCGCACTCAATTGGAAAAGGTCAGGAAACTCCTTATCTTGGAATTTCTTTTTTAAATCAAAGCTCAAACAACCTTGAGCGATTTTGACAAACTCTTTTTCGATCAGAGGTATAAAACATTTACTTCTTGCTGTCTTGAACCTTTGAAGGAAACCTGCTGCCCATTCGTTTGGCATTTGACGTAGGTTCGCCAAATTGACCAAAGTAATTTCAGACTCAGTCTTATAAAACTGAGCGTGGAATAATTGTTCCAATTGTTGCCATGTTTGAACAGAATTCGCTGGCAAATTGATGAACCAGGAGAAAGCTACTCCTGTTAATGAACTAGGGAAAAGCCTCATTTTATGATAATCAGTTACGTCACCACTTTGCAGTGTGAATCGTCCTATGTGTTCTAGAGTAGACACCTCCCCTAAACTGTTAAACAGTGAGAATTCTGGCACTTTATACCCTTTAGGCCATGGATATGCTTAGTCTATCCAATCAGAATATGGCTTTGTGTAGGTTGGCCTAATGACAGGACGTACCCCAAAAGTCATCTAGTCCTGTACGATTTTCATAATCTGATTCCTCAACATGACGTTGGGGTCATATGGAATCCCTACAGGTTGGTTGACCGGTTGATTTGCTTGAGGCCTGATATTTGGTCCTTGATTAGGAATAAAATTACCATGATTTGGGCCATTGTTACCATTAGCCTGAACATTTATTCCCTCGTTAACACGTGGGGTATTCTGTCCGTTATTTAGGACATTATCTCTTACATTTGGATTACTCCCTAAGTTAGGCGTACCATTACCATTATTCTAATTTGGCATTACACCATTCCCTTGGTTTGAAGTAGAGGGACCGAAATGTGATTCTACCCTTGACTTGGATTTAGGATTGGGGGATTATGTCCCACAATTGTCCTAGTTTGTGGAGAGTTATGCTGCTCTTCATATCGCTCGATCACAGACTGGACTCCTCCTTGATTTGCTGCTTTCTTATCGGATTTCTGAGGCATATTGTTTCACCTTTTGTATCTTCAACACCAAACACCACTGTCCCACTGGGCGTGCTAAATTGTTTCGCGC